TGGGAAAGATGGTCTTTGAGACATTAGTCCACCACCTCTCCAAGTCGCTGGCTTCATGCATAAAGCAACCTTTCCTTTCCTCCCACCACCACTTGTCTCTAGATTGTTGACTTTCCAGCCTTGGGCGGCCAAACCTGCCTTAGGAACTGGTTCTGTCCCATAACACTAGTACCAGTCAGAGCAACTTTAATAGTATCCAGACAGTTAACAGATTTCCAAAGGTGAAGCTAATTTATTCCCAGAGAGTTTGAAGACGAGAAGACTCATCTTTAAATGACTAGGAAAATTATCCCATTGTAAAGAAACAATTTAAATACAATTTAACATTTGGGGACAGGAGAATGCTTTGCTGCTCTTCTCCTCTGGAAGCAATGCTTAATATTTAAGTCAGGAACACTCAGAAGTAGTAAGAGAACTTAGCAAAACCCAACACACATCCTCATGCCACCCATACTTCCATGGGCTTCTGCCTATCGGGACCAACTGGATGGGAACTTCACCGCTAGAAGTGGGTCCCAGCAAAAGAATCAACACAAGAGCGGGAAGGGACTCTGGAAATCAGCCGGTGACCAGATATTAGTCCTCAGCCCTCAGTTCGCGGAGGCGGTGAGGCCTAGGGATTTCCAAGACCTCCAAAAAACAGTCCATGCTAAAAGGGCTTCCTACCACCCGAAATCAGTCTATCCCTTTCCCTCCCTTTTCACTCTTTTTCTGTTGCTATCAATCCAGCCGCTTCTTCCTTTCCTTCAACAAACCCTTTTCGAAATGGTGGTGAGCAAAACAGGCGTGGTCCAGCCTACCGTAATTTCTGTGGGAGGACGATGCCTTCCCGACAGACTGCCACACAGTTAAACCAAGGACCTGCTCCTTCTCCCTCGGCCCGCCACGGCCCGTCGCCCCTGGCCGCAGCGAAGGCCGGGGTGCGGTGAGGGTGGGGCGGCGCGTTCCCGGGGGAAAGCGGGGTGCGCAAGGGGGCGCCTGCGCCGGCCGGCGCGAATCTGGCCGGCGCACAGCTCGGCGGTCTCCTAGCGACCCGGGCCGCCGGGAATACACAGCACCGAGGCCCGGCTGTCGTCCCGGAGCGGGGGAGACCATGGCCGAGGCCTGGCGGCTGTGCGGACCGGCGGCGCCCACCCGGTTGCCGGCGGGCGGGACCTGCGGGCCCCGGTAAGCTCCGCGCGCCCGGAGAGGCGCATCGGGTGGGTGCCGCGTGGGGGCGCCTGCACCCCCTGCTTGCTGGGCGGCGGGGGGCAGATGGCCGGGGAGGGCGCGGCTGGAGGTCCCGCCTGCCTTTTCTCCCCACCTCTCCGCACCTAAATGATGATGATGATGATTTTTTTTTAAGATTTTATTTATTTATTTATTTGACACAGAGCGAGAGATAGCGAGAGAGGGAACACAAGCAGGGGGAGTGGGAGAGGGAGAAGCAGGCTTTCCGCGGAGCAGGGAGCCCGATGCAGGGCTCGATCCCAGGACCCTGGGATCATGACCTGAGCTGAAGGCAGACGCTTAAGGACTGAGCCACCCAAGTGCCCTGGCACCTAAATGATTATAATATAAAATATAAAATAACCAGCGCCCGACGCTCCTGTCGCAAAGCACACTTTTTTTCTGCTCTCCTCACAACCTCCCAGGGGATGTAGATTAACATAGCCATTCCAGATGGGAAACTGAGGGCCACAGAGTCCTCCGTGGAGACTGCCTTAGTCTACCACTCACCCTTCTCCGGGTTAGCCAACTGGATCTGGAGCCTTTGGCCCCCCCGCCTGTGACTGTGGCCAAGCTGGGCCTGTGTCTGGGGGAGAGCCTCAGACACTGGGGCGGTCTGCTGCCATTTTGGATGGTTGCTATCACGGTCACAGGGCAGGAACCCAAGGTTTTTTGTCTCTGTGGATTCCTTGAGCTATTTATGAGAACGGAATTCGGCCCTCTTGGAGGCAACCCCATATGGTGGTAGATTCCAAAGTCTAGATCTAATCACAAAGGTGGGAGTCTAAGGCCAGTTCTCATCTTGCTTGCCTAGCGACCTTAGACAAGTTAGTTGCTCCTTCTGGGCTCAGTTTGCTCAACTGTAACATGGGAACAATAAAATGAATCAGCTTTATAGGATTGTCCTGATGATTAACCGACATACCACACGGAGAGCAGTTACTGGCACATAGTATATACTGTATACATTTTAGCAATTATGAACCCTCTGGGAATCTTTTTTCCCTACATTTTCAAAGTTTTTGTTTTGAAATAATTATAGACTCACAAGTAGTTGCAAAAATAGTGCAGAGGTCCCATGTACCCTTCCCCCAGCTGCTTCCAGTGGTACCATCTTAGGTAACCAGTACTTTACCAAAGCAGGAAATGGGCATTGGCACAATATATTAGTTAGACTGGAGACCTTGCTTGGATTTCACCAGATTTTGCTTGCAGTTGTGTGTGTATAAACTTCTATAAAATTTTGTCACATGTATTCATCAAGACACGAAACAATTTCCTCACCACAAGGGAACTACTTCTTGCAACCCCTTTATCAGCACCCCTTTCCCTATGCCCAACCTTTGGCAACCAATATTGTTCTTCATTTCCATAATTCTGTTCTTTTGGGGATGTTAGATAAATAGAAAAATACAGTATAAAACTTTTTGAGATGGGCTTTTTTTCACTCAGCATAAAGCCCTTGAGATCCATCCAAGACACCATATTAGTAGTTTGTTCATTTTTTAAAAAAGATTTATTTATTTATTTATTTGAGAGAGAGAGCATGGGAGGGGGTGCAGGGGGAGAGGGAGAAGCAGACTCCCCACTGAGCAGGGAGCCTGATGTGGGGCTCAGTCCCGGGACCTTGAGATCATGACCTGAGCTGAAGACAGACGCGTAACTGCGCCACCCAGGCGCCCCAGTAGTTCGTTCATTTTTATTGCTGGTGTGGATGTACCACTGTTTGTTTATTCGTTTTACCTACTGAAGGACATGCAGGTGTTTCTGGTTTTTGCTGTTGCTATCAACATTTGTATACAGGTTTTTGTACAAACAATAAGTTTTCATTTCTTTAGGATAAATGACCAATACTCTTTTGTAATTCTTACAGATGGAGATATCCATCCACATAGCAGATGCTAATGACTGTGAAAATAGTAAATGTTTAGAAAAAAATGTTTTCAGTTTTATTTTCTGGGTCAAGCAAAATTTTTCATAAACTTAACAAAATGCAGAGGTAAGTTTATTAGCTACGAGAGGCAAAGCAGGGTAGTGGGAAACCCTCCTGCTGTAGTGGTTGCTTGTTCATCTCTCAGAACTTGGTTTCTTCATTTGGCGGGGAGGAGGTGGACTAGATTTCCTTCAGGTTCTGCCAGCTCTAACATTCTGAGGCTTGAGCTAGCTGCCATACTTACCCCATTTTGAGTGGTATAACTGTCCGTAAGCAAAAATATCAGTCATCAGATTTGATTTCATGAAGTGCTTGGATGTTTGAGTTAGTTGTGAATGTGTAGAAAATAATCTTTGTAAAGATTTCTAATATTATAGAAGGTTACTTGCTAGTAGGTCATGCTGAATGGGTCATCAAATCTTAAGGTTAGATGTAATTTCAACACCCTGCCACTTAGCTATTTAAGAGTGATTTGTTCATTTCAAAGAGCAACTTTTTGTATCCTTTCATCTAGATCTTCACAGTAGAGCTGGTTTAAGACCCCCCTCCCCCCCGCAACATGCACATACAGCAAGCAAGACGTTTCTAGGACTCATAAGGAAAGAATAGGGGTTAAACTAGAACCTCTTAAAAATGCTTTGTACCTATAAAGATGAGTGCAACAAGGAGTAGATTTGGTGTAATGAGCCATTACAGATGAAAGGGGCCTGGAGGTGGAAGAGGCTTCAGGAAAAGACACCAATAATATAGAAATATCTGACTAAGGCAGTGATGTATTAAGAGAATGAGTGACCTGCCCTTCAGCTGCTCAGGTTCCAAATCCTGACTTAGGCAATGGCTGGATGTGTTAGATTATCTAGGAACTGGTCTCATTTTCCTTCCATCAACTGCTTCCATCTCATATTTATACCCTAACAACTCAGTGCAGACAGGGGCCTGGTGGGTAAGGAAACTGGGTGAAGCAGGCTGGGTAGAATAAAGCAGTAGGGAGGGGTGGAGACTGTGACTAAGAGAGCATAGGACTTGTCTATAGGGGGCAACCATTATACCAATTGCTGGCTCCATGAAAAGGTGGACCCAGTGTTCCCAGAGAGCCTGATTTTTGTTCTAGATTATGTATGTGAACTTTTTTCTATGTCAGAAGCTCTAGTGTAGTGCTTAAGCACCTTTCTCTGGAGTCACACTACCTGGGTTAAAATCCCACCTCTACCACTTATTAGCTGTGGGATCTTTCACAAGTGTTTGTTTTGTTCTCAAACTTCTTTGTGCCTCGATTTCCTTATCTATAAGTGGGAATAATGCCAGTACTCGGTACCTACTTCATTAGATTGTTATGAGATTTATTTATTTTTTTTTTAAGATTTTTATTTATTTATTTGAGAGAGAATGAGATAGAGAGAGAGCATGAGAGGGGGGATAGTCAGAGGGAGAAGCAGGCTCCCCTCCTAGCAGGGAGCCCGATGCGGGACTCGATCCCGGGACTCCAGGATCATGACCTGAGCCGAAGGCAGTCGCTTAACCAACTGAGCCACCCAGGCGCCCATAGATTGTTATGAGATTTAGGGAAGTTCATACATGTAAAGCATGTAGAACATGCCTATTATATAAGAAGTCCTTGATATATGTTAGCTGTTCTAATTCTTATTCAAACAGAAAAGGGACCAAATGACAGGTTTGTAGGCCCCATGCAGCCCATGGACTGCCAGTTTGAAATCTTTGACCCTCTGAGGTTAAGGGGTTAACTGAGGCCCACAGAGGTTAAATGAAGTGCCAAGGTCATTTGGCTAGTTAGGCGTGAATGGTCCCTGGGATGCAGGTTCTTCCCACTGCACTATGGTCTTTTAAAGGATAAGAAAAGGTCCCTGGAGGGGTTGCAACTTGTGACAAGGAGAATGGATAGATGAACCAGGTGGTAATAATGAATTAGATTTACACCTAGTGACATGGATGGGCCTTTATAATATGGTACTTGGCAAATCAGTAAGAAATGGAATAGTACCATTTATGTAAATTAAGAATACATGCACATAAAAGAATGATACAGATATTACAAGGAGTGTACAAGCAAAAGGGTACATTTTAAATCTGTGAGAGGGGTTTTGCCTGTGCGGGGGGGCAATTAGAATGGGATGCGGGATAACAGCCTAAGGAAACAGGAGAAGGGCCTTGCATAGGCCAGAGAGGATGTGCCGTGAACTAGGAGTCTGATTAGCTCAACCCTCTCCACGGAACCCCTCCTCTCTTACCTCACTTCCTCAAGAAAGGTGGAGGCCAGCCTCCTTACAACCTCTGTCTCCCGCCCCAAGTCCTGTGCTCCGTACGACCAGGCATGTTGTTTTCCAGGTACAAGGAGGGTCTACCTTCCAAGTGTTTCACAAAGCACAGGCACAAGCTGACGTGTCCCACCTCCCTGAACAGCCTGCGGTGGACGTTTGTGAAGAAGGGACTGGATGACTTCAGGAGGGGCTGCCCGCCTTGCAAGGGTCTGCTCACTCGGGGTCCTCAGGAGGCCTTTCTCCCCCAGATCCATCACCCAGCTCCCCGACCTGCCCCAAAGAAGAGGCAACACAGGCGGCCCAAGGAAACAGCCCTCTTTCCCAAGCTGTCCCCAGTGCCGCGAGCACGGAAGGCATTCCTGGCGGACGTTGAAGCCCAGCTGACCCCGCATCCTTTGGCTCTCTACCCTAATCTGGGGCAAGACATGCCTGTCGAGGTGACCTCCTGACCTAGGGCTGTGGGAGGGCCTTGAAAAGAATTCTCCTTGGATATGTGGGAGCTCCTTTGAGGGGGTGACATGCTTGCATGGTTGGGGGCACGAGGAACGCCTCCCAGGGTGAGAGTGCTCATGGGGGCTGGCGCAGACTTCCTTTCTCCGCTCCCGGGAAAGACATTGGCAGCAAGGCACTCGCCACTCCCTTTGCTTGCTATGAAGCCACACAACTTATAAAGGTCCAGTAAACCAGAAACATTCGACTTCTTTTCCCCTGAAGGTCTACCAGTCTCCTTTGCTTGGGACTTTTGGAGGGCAGAAACCAAGGGGGGAATTGTCCGGTCTTGCTTCTGTTACTATAGCCTGGTGTCAGCCGGTGTCCATCGTACTTAACTAACGGCTGGGTAGGCGGCATGGGGGGCCCTGAAAAGTCGTGGGGAAAAGTCACCGCATCGTCAGGCTGGGTTTGGAGGGCAGCTCCAGTGTCCCGGGCTGCTTTTGACTCTGAGCGCCATAATCCTTAGCGTCTGGCTCTTTCTTGCGCTTGAATCTCAGGGTGGCTTCCACGCCTCCGCATCGGGTCTGTCTTTCAAACAAGAGGGCG